CAACAGACTGAAGCTTCTTGGTATATGCATCAGTTTTATATCAGCCAAGTGTACCTTTGTGGCCACTGAGGCTTCAAACGTCAACTCACAGTGAATCTTGTTAACGTCAACCTTGATGTTACATTTGACCAGAATAATTTAGCCTATTACAAAGGTTTCCTGTCATCCCTCTCAAGGCTATATCACAGGTTAAAACAGAGTACAGTACTTAAATCACTCAGTATGTATAGTTGCAACACATACCAGCACACTTTCCTTCAATTTATTAAAAGGAGAAGGAAAATACTACATTACACAGCTGGCAATGCAGCATATCAAACCATGGCAAGTTTCAATTACCATTTTTTTACTAAATTTCTCAAGGTGATTATACAGTACAGTACATACATATCCCGGGCTCATCACAGCATAATATTAAAAGGTGGCACAGTATTGATGGCGTATGTCAACAAGGTAACATAATCAGTCAGGTTTATTACCCAATAAGCCAAAATGATGGACGATGGCAGGTAAATACAGACATGGAAATAATCATAATAATCTATCACCAAAAAATCAGTACAAATGCTATTTTTTTTTTTTTAATGATTTTGTGATTTTCAAAGTTAAATAGACAAAAAAATACTACTAAGGTGATAGGAAATCATATACAAGGGAATGAAAATCATGTATCGAGGAACCTCATACAGTACTTTAACCGCTGGTGGTGGTGGTGCCTGGTATTATGGTGCTATCGTTACCGGCTGAGTTTTGCTGTAACGTAAACACAAGACATATATCAAAATATTTCAAAATATATCTACTGTAAAAAAACCCACAACAACAGTTTCTCCAGCACGTGTAATGTCTCTGAGGATAACGTAATCTAGTGAGTCAAAACACTATAGGGACTAAACTGACTAATATAATACTGTACTCCCTCGGCATAATTAAAGGGCTTCACTGTACAACACATTAAGGATCTGATTTAAACGGTTTTACTATATAATTGTGTTAAATAAATAATATGTGCACAAGCTATGTTTAAAGATAGTGTGAGGGAAAACACTAGAGAAAAAGAATCATATATTAAGCAAAAAATTATGACTACAAGAGGTAAAAGTTATTAGTTGGGAATTGTATCACTGAAGGACGTATGTAAATAAATTATCTACTAAGAATATGTTACTAAATGAGCTCAACCATCAGAGAATGGCTACATCCAAACACCAACAGCTAAATAATAACGTGTGTGAAAATGACTTCCCGCAAGGATATCTGAAACACCAAAAACACTCAAAAAGCGTAATACCTAAATATTACTTCTCTAATCTATGTAATGACAACGGTAAAATATGTAGCTAAATATTTCTGAAACACTTAGGTCTACAACACTAAAGTAGGCAACACTCAACATGACAGTACCTGCTAAGCACAAGTTGGATGGCTCTTATGGATGAGTTGTGGGGGATCATCTAGAGTGAGGAGACTACCAAAACAAGATTCATCGACAGGTCTGCTAAAATATTCCCAAGTAGATAAAAAGTCTGATGTATTTATCCCAGTGCAGGCGACGGGTCAAATAGGCCCCCATAATAGGCTCCGGTCTTAATGAACCTCGACGCGATCATTAGCATTGAGGTCTAGTTCTAATGGGCCTTGATTCTAATGACCTTGTTAGGTAGCATTGGGTTAACTTGATGATTTCTCTAGGTTGGGGACCATTTGACCTGTACTATCCCATAACACCAACTTGGGTGACCAAACTCCCAAGGTATTAACTACTAGAGGTAACTGTCTCATTCTTACCTTAACTGACATTATTTTATGGATAACAGAATGAACATGTTTAATTTCTAGTTAAAGTTTCTCTTATGGACATCAACAAGTTTATCAGTCAGATACTTTTTATATATATCAAACACTTGACCGTCTATGATTTAGTTTACAAGTTTTGATTGTTCATCTTTTAAAATGATTGCAAGTTGTGTTGAACTAGGAATGGATTAAGTAGAATCTAAAAGCAACTAAACACAGAGGTCTACTACCCAGAGCAGTAGATCTGTAGTCACTAACCACATAGTCTATCTTGTTTGATGCATTATATTACTATCAACTTAAAATGGTAATACACTTGAAGTACTCAACTTCATATACTGTATTTACTAAATAACTGTAATATTATAAACCTGGTATTATAAAATCATCACAAAGATGTCTTGGTACTGCACAGTATGGGTGACAATTCCCCAAAATGCCTACAAAAGTTTCAACCTAAATAACTTGGCAACTAACAGTCTTTCAATCTTTGTTTAACATGTTTGTATGTAAATCAGTCATTGGACAAAAATTAATAGCATAAAGTTTTTCAAACTTCAAATTGACATGTTTTACATCTTACCTAAAAGTAACACTAGTGGACTTTACCTCAGTCCTTATGCAATGGTGAGCAATACTGGTACACCTGCAGGAGCAGTTCTGGCACCCTGGAGGACCACAGCAGGTAAACAACAAACTTTTATAAATCCTCAACACAATGCTTCCCCGTCAGGGATAAATTCAGTGACACTACAACACCTCACGTCAAACTTCTGGAGAAGGAGCTCCTCCGTCAACGTGTACAACACACACAATACCTTCCACTTTAAACTTCTGCAGTGTAGTAAGTCAAACTTTTGACATAAGCAAGATATATACATATAAAAGGCAAGACATACAGTATAGCTATAAATAAGTATTAAAACAAATTATGCTTCACTAGAAGACCTTCAATGCAGTGCTACTTCCTCCTGACCTCCCAGCCCTGTACAGTACAGTCTGATGACACAAGGGTGAACAGATCACTTGCAGGTTAACAACTGCATATGATGTGTTCCTTGGAAATTCTAACAGCTGACCATTGACAAAAGATCATTAATATTTGCTGCAAAAAATTATAACTTATGTCACAGCATAACATATGTGTTTCAAGTGTGGCTCAAATTTAATAAGCTGTAACCGATATCATACGAATTTCATTAATTTCAAACAATAACAAATTTGATCTTTTATCACAAGTATTCAGCCTGAAAGTGTTACAACTAATATCGAGCTTTATGAAAGTCACTCATTAAAAATTATTGAGCAATTACTGCTGAACCATATAGTAATAATAAACCTCATCAGACATCTTCATTCATAAAACTTGCATGACCACAGCAAACAATTTCAAAATCGGTTCTTAGCAACAAACTTGTAGGACAAAATAAAGCCGTTATCATTATTATTACAATATATCAGAGGTATGAACATTCTCCCCACATTTAATAACACTTACAACACAGACAGAGAGAAAAATATTGTTTTTCTTAACAAAGTTGCAGCTGTAATAAAATGTGAGTTTATACTAATTTATTTCCAAAACAATTGACCAGTTAACATTATTACTGTTACAGTTATAAAATACGGGATGTCCAAAAACTCTCTGCCCATAGGGAAAGAAGAAGTACGGCTTAATGCAACTGCAGATCTCTTTGTCGGAGTTTCAACCTCTTTCCCTTCTGGGCAGAACTTTTCGGACACCTTGTACATTATTAGGAATGGAAAACTTATTTCATCTTTTAAGATTATTGCCAGAAGCAAAAAGATTCTATGATGCCAGTACAGCATTAGTCAGGGCAAGTGAGTGAAAGGTTCCTCAGGGACGTGTTATATGACCAATGGCTGTTCTATATCAACATCCTTGACGTCAATGTACGTATTAGTGATTAAAGAAAATGTAGAGCGAAGACACAGACAGGAGTAAGTAGCGTGGGAGTGGTCGTGTTGTGGTGCCTCTTGGTGTATTGTACTGTACAGACTTTGATAAAGAAACAAATAAATAAAAGGAAGATTTAAGATACAAAGGAGTTGGTTTACTTTCCTCTTTAGAGAAATCAGTTCAAAAAAATACTGTTTGGGTAATGACTTAGGAAGGAGAATGAAGAATATAGTAAAGTACTGTAGTTCTTCCTGCAAGAATGGGCCGTGGAAGTGTCATGGTTGATAGTCCCGAACATTCTTAACTTATATACCTGTACAGTCTCGGTAATTACATCTGAAAGTCCGGGTTATGTCCAACACCTTGAGTGGTAAGATGTTCTGAGTCTGAGTCACATTTGAGACCATTAACAGTTCAACTGACATCCTGGTTGGTACCTTACTAACTACAGGTATCTAATAGGTCATTGGTATTACTAGATCTTGGTGTACGAGTTATGTACAAAACTCTGACTGGTGAGATGAATTCAGCCTGAGTAAATGTGACAACAAATTGCTTCACCTGTGGATGTGACTGAGGGACCTACTCGACCTCTCACAAAATTATGTGAAAATCTACTAATAACATTTTCTATTCGACAAAATATAAATTATGAAAACTAAGAAAAGGTGAAGTGCTCTTAATATTATGAATAAACACTGTTGAAGCAGATAAGAAACAACAATAACTTAAGAATGTTTTGAAACTTACTTTAAGAACAAGAGAGCTTCACATGATGAGAGAAAACAATTGCTAAACATATGAACAAAATATTATAAATTTACAACACAAACAGAGGAGAGAATTTGATAATTTTTCCAAACTATGAAACAAAAGTTTGTGATAATTCTTTCATTTATGATATTAATGAAAAAAGTCTCTTCCTCAGTAAACAATTTAGTGTCAGTCCTGAAAAGTTTCTCAAATGCTGAGTCATCTGTGTTTTATGTATGGAACAGAGAATACAGTACAGTACATAAAGGAACAGTCTGTCTCTAGGAACATTTAAAACTCAATACATAAGTTTTCACAGCAAGAAGGCTGCCATAAGATAAATGAACGTCACATAGCAGGTAACAAGGTGACAAAAATGATAATATATATATATAAATATATATATATATATATATATATATATATATATATATATATATATATATATATATATATATATATATATATATATATATATATATATATATATATATATATATATATATATATATATATATATATATATATATATATATAAGGAAAAAGGAAGAATGAACATTGGAACAACTGGGAGACAAGAAAGAAGAGAACCATGGAATAGAGGTGTGTGTGTGTGTGTGTGTGTGTGTGTGTGTGTGTGTTGATGTGCCGTGACTTGGATGCTTGCACAGGCTCCCTGACATGAGCAGATGATGGTGAAATGACCAATGCAGATTAAATGTTCTAGGGTTCAGTACAGTGTTACCATAAAATTACCAAGTCATGATAAACATTAGTTAGTGAACTTAAGGTTTTTTTGTCAACACATAATACAAAGAGTAGCAGTTTATCATCCTGTGAAGGACATGTGACTGAACTCTGTATAATTTGTTAATGTTAACTTTCCAGTTTCTCTTCAATCCACATAAATGAATAACAATATTAATAAGTCAATTTAATTGAGCTGGTATACTGCACTTACAACACAGTACTTCCCTTACTCCAAGTAACTGTGCATTAAAATGGTGGTGACATAATTCCTGTACATGATGTCGATGGTTTACAGGTACAAACTTCTGGGTGTACAGTACCAGGTAGAACTATGCTATGAAAATGGTCTTGATGCTCACATTTCTACATTTTTTACATATCTAAAGTTTGGAATGTAGCTCTACAAGAAGGCATTGAGGTCCATACCAACTATTTCACTACATCAGGAGGGGAAGGCAAAGCTTCATCTGCCTTCTTCATAAGAAGGAAAATAGCTTAAACATCTTTGGATAAAAGCAGAGCATTATTGGCACATAAAGTTCGTTCTGACAAAAAAGTACGGAAACTCCATCATCATGGTCCTCTGCTGTCCCTTGATGCTCCTGAATCTGGAAGAAAAGCAAACAATGTAACATTCATCTGTCTCTTTAAACCTTAAATTGTATCTCTTTTTTCCAAATGATATATCCAAGCTCAAGTTATGTAATACCTACCATAAGAGATATACAGCTGTCAAGGCTTATGATATCCATCTATTAATCACTAAATTCAAGCCCTATGTCGTATAACACATCTTCCACAATCAAATTTCATGACTCAAGAATAAGGAGTCTATCTGGGTAGCAGGTAGTGTAGTGTTGCAGACAGAATGACTTGAATCCCCTAAATCCACCTAAAGGGAGTTTGAAATACACGAGGAGGATCAAAGGAGTTTAAAACACTACCTGGGTCGTGACTCTCAACATTTTTTTCATTCTACTTGGGATCTGATACACTGTAACGTGCACAAACAGCTGTCAGTCTTGATATATATGCAGTAAGAGTGAATTTGATTTATTTAGGATAACAAAGATTGATATTTCAGGATACCAAATTATTGTTTACCCACACACATACACACAGCCACACACACATACACACACACATACACACATAAATCCATAGTGAACAATACATACACAAACACACACTCACACACCCACACACACGGTAAGCTCAATAGTAGTGAGAGTCATTTACACTTACCACTGTGTATTAGTCTCTGCTTGCGAATATGTGTTTCGTTGTTTGCCGCAGGTGAGGGATTACTGACAGCAGACGCCATCGTCGCCACTTGCTGCTCCATCTGACAAATGATAAATAATTTTAACCTTTAATTGGTGGCTGAGGATTCCCCCCTCCCCCGTGTGCAAAAATGGAACGCAAAGAACATGAAATTTTTGCAGATGATGGCTGCCGTCCCTACAGCTAATTTCTACAGGTGATGGCTGCCATTTGAAAGGGTTAAATACAATAAATTAAACTGAATTCATCTCTCTATTTTTAGGAATGCAACCCTCTCATAAATTGGAATTTATTTGTATACAATAAAAAGAGTTAAATTCTTTTCATGAACACATTAATGTTAGCAAGAACCATATATAAATACAGTAATTTAATATCTGTACCTTTAAGAGATATAATTTAGGAAAAAAAAATATTCACTTCTCTGCATGGGCATATTATGTGGTAGTAAGTATATAAATTATCTAAAAAATAACTTCTAAGCCAGATTATACACTGCTAATTATATAAACTCAATAGTCAACCATGGGAAAGTTATATACATCACAGAGGAACAAGAAACAACACCAGGGTACAGTACCAACCTTCTGCAACTGTTGTTTAAGCTCACTCACGCCACTTGCCAACTGAACCTGACTCCCCTCCAGCTTCCTCTCTACGCCCTTCACCACGTCCACACTCTGAATGAAGGAAATATTTTAGAGGAATAACCACAAAAGTATTATTTTCCTGTATCATTATGTGAGTAAAAGTTGCAAATGGCAGGACAAGAAAATATTTATGAGGAATTACCCCAAAAAGTTTTATCATTATAAGAATAAAAGTTGTATATATTTTTAAGGAAATCCCCCAAAATTATTATTATTATGAGAGTAAAAACTGTAAATGGTAAGATTATCATTAAATACCAAAATTACTGTAAGGTTTTAGATTTACTGCATTGTCTTGACATTATGTAAAGCTGATATATAAAAAAGGCTGTATTATAACAATTCCCTTGATCACATATAATAAAACTATCTTCAATATAACGAATTGAAATCTAAAGTAAATTAAAGGGGGAAAATAGTACAGAATCTATAGATACATATAAATTTGGTTTAGGAAGTCAATGAAAGAATCCCATGAACCTTTTGAATATCACTTTAATAAGATCATTTGCCTGGGATGCATATGATGAACTCCTCTTAATGGTATCACTTATGACTCCAGCTTCATTATCTAACACACTAAGCAGCTGTATGATGAAGAATTTTTGTCAGAGAGTTTAATGAATAGTTTTATACCTTTAAATACATTTTACAGTGACTAAAAAAATAATATTAGATTTATCAGTGATCAAGACTCCCTTTAAATAAGATACAGCCACCCACAAACTCCCGTCGCCTCTCCTGCTCCACCACGAACCCGGAGATTCAGACTCGTAAATCCGAAGCAGTAGACACTGATACAATATTCTGTCCATAAATGCTTTGGATTCATAAGTCTGAATCTCAAGGTTTGTGGTTCATGAGGAGAGGCAACGACTACTGTGGGTGGCTATACCTAACTTGACCAGGAGTTTGTAAATAGGATTATGGGAGAAAAAGCTATGAAAAAAAAATACAAGACAGGTGCACCGTACTTGAGTGAGGTTTTGTAGTGTATGAGCATGTTGATCGGTGGTTTCTTGCAGCTGGGTCAAGGCTGTGGTCAGGTTACTAATCTGTGAGGGCAGAGTGGGGTCTATCTTCCTGTGCCAAGACTCGAGATTCGATAACCGCTGACTGACATTACTCAAGTCTGTATTTGACTGCTGTATACTCTAAAAAAAACAAAGAAATTTATAGTGATATTTGCCCACTGAACACAAATACTGTATATATATAAATTAGGTCACCTGAAGATTATCTCCCAACTTATTTCATCTGGTGATTAAACACCCACAACACAACCTGGGGGATTAAGGTTAGGTCAGCATTAGGGTGTCAAATCATCAATTAAAAAAAGATTAGTGGGGGTCTAATCTTCATGTGATCCCATAAATGTGTACACACTAGTAATATACCATGGAATACTCTGCCACTTGCTGATGTGCTCCATGTGAACTCTATATAACGACTGTTGCCTCAAATAACTATTATCTCAAGTTCTTACTGTTCCTGTTATTACAATCATGTCTTCTTAGTTAATGCCTCAAACTTTTACAGAAAATACCTTAAGTTAGAATTATATTTGGTCAATTTTTATGATTATTTCTTTAATTTTTTCAGCTATTATTTTCTGTTTACAGTAATAATTTGTCACACTTTTAACCCCTTCATTACAGGGATGTCATTTTAAATATTTTACTGCACTAACGTCAAATTATTTTATTCATCTTACAGACAACAAAGTACTATACAAGAGGTTAAGACCATGACAGTACAGTATATATACCCAAGTTATTACATCTATTCAACCATGTTCCTTACTGTTATGCCCACAAACTCATATTATTACCTCAAGTTTTTGCTTATTTGCTGAAGTTTCCTTGGCGTGGGATATAACAGAGGCGTTGATGGTGGTGATGGCAGAGCTGAGCGAGTTCATGTTGGTTCTTAAGGACACGACGGTCTCTCCTAAAGTGGCGCCTTTCCCCCCACCTTCTCTGCCCACGTCCATTAATGTCTGATTTTGTAAGTGTGATATTTCTTCCTGTAAAAGATATATAAATAAATTGTTATGAGTACAGTAAAACCTCTATATAATGGACTTCTCTCTATATATAATCCAAGACATAAGGGGGTTTTCTCATCTAACGGACCCTCGATATAATGGACTTTCATCTCAACATAGTTTTTTAGATAGATGTTTCAAATCTAATGGACACCTTGATATAATGGACTTTCATCTCCATATAGTCCATTAAATAGAAGATTTACTGTACCCATTATGTCATAGAGATAGTGAAGGATACACTCACTAGGTGGGGTACTGGAGTGTGTCACAGGGTAATGGGAGGAAGTATCTTATCTGGGTAGCTGTTTTGTCTCACGTCAGCTTTTATAAATAAGGTCCCTACCACTTTTGGGTCAGTCCTTGTAAAATAATGCTGTCACACTAAAACTATAATACTGTTCTATCCTAAAACTATAATCATGCTGTAACCCTAAAACTATAAAAACTCTGTAAGGTATATTCAGCAGACACAACGAACCTTAAAATTATCGAGGGCATTGGTGGCTTCTTTGACATTAGAGGAAAGTTTCTCATGATCTTGTTTCACCACCTTCAGAGACGACTGAACATCCTGCAGCGTGGAACCAAAAGTGGCCACTGAGCCCTGCAGGTCGACCACATCCTTGGGTAATGAGGAGAGCTGTGGGGCGCTACTGAGGGAGTCTTTGATTCTCTTCACGTCTGACTCCAGCTGCTCCACCTGTAAGGGACGACAATGCTGTATTATGCTGTCATGGTGGTACACTGACTCACTTTATGGTGTATTATGCTGTCATGTTGTTACACTGACTCACACCCACCCACATACACGCTGCCACACACCACCCACACCACACCACAAACTGCCTCACATCACACACACACACACACACACACACTGCCTCACACCACACACCCCAAACTGCCTCACACCACACACCCCACACACCACAAACTGCCTCACACCACCCCCCCCCTAACACACACACTCAATAAACACGTTCACCACATAAGAGAGAGAGCAATTGTCTTTCTTAATTGTTATATATGTTGAATTTAATGAGGCAATTATACCCAAGACGTTAATTAACCTTAAGATAAAGAGTCTTAAGTCACCTGTATGTAATTGCCAAGTAATTAGATAGGCCAGTTAATGGTATAATTTAGCAAAGGTAATGGTGTACGTAATTAATCGGTCTCGTGTGTGTGTGTGCGCGTGCGTGCGTGTGTGCGCGCGCGTGTGTGTGTGCGCGCGTGTGTGTGTGTATTATAGTGTTAGGAGCTGAAAGGACCTATAGCCAGTGTTTTGTGTGACACACACACACACACACACACACACACACACACACACACACACACACACACACACACACACACACACACACACACACACACACACACACACACACACACACACACACACACACACACACACACACACACACACACACACACACACACACACACACACACACACACACACACACACACACACACACACACACACACACACACACACACACACACACACACACACACACACACACACACACACACACACACACACACACACACACACACACACACACACACACACACACACACACACACACACACACACACACACACACACACACACACACACACACACACACACACACACACACACACACACACACACACACACACACACACACACACACACACACACACACACATTAAAAAAAATCCCTCATCTCTTTGATATAGAAAACATAAAACAGATTTTCACTCCGACAAGAGCTTACATTTTATTGATATAAATCACTCAGGCCATCAGCTAAAAATGTTAGCACCAATACCCCATATTTTCACCCATTTTAAAACCTCCAATGGATCAAAGAGGTTGTGTGTATTTTTTGTTTTTATTTTTTGTTATTATTTAATGGAATATTCAACAGCTTTTATGAGACAGGTGGTGGTGGTGGTGGTGGGGGACCAGCTGTGGAAATACTGAACCATCTGTCTGTTAAATGTCACTGAACCATCTGTCTGTTAAATGTCACTGATCCATCTGTCCAAACACACAAAACTATATCATTGGCTAGGGTCAGAACAGTTAGGTCAGGTTAGATCAGGGTCAGGTCAAGTCAGGTCATACTCGACGAAGAAAAACACTGACTCTTTTGGTAGTGGCGGCGAGAGAGGAGGAGATCTGGGTGACGGCGGCCCACAAGGCGCTCTGGTTCTTCTCCAACTCCTGAAGTCTGACGTGCGACTCATGGAACTTAGCTGGTAACTCTGAACTGCTCGCCTCCACTGTAAACACCAGGTAACACATTAATTACTTATTATTAACACCTTAACATCAGCCTATTGTTAAAACTCTCTTAACACACACACACACACACACACACACCGTTTATTAATCACAACTAAGAAGAAAAAAAATCAGCCACGATAGGAAAATAATCTAGACATAAATAAGAAACCAACTGTGTTTTCCCCAATCAGATTTATTCCCATTGTTTCCAGAGATATTTTTGTTTTCCCGACCAGCCGATGCCCCCCGCCCCCCCGCCCCCCCCCCTCTAGTTGTCCAGCACGTCCAGGAAACAGATAACAATGGCAACTGGTTAATGGCACATGGGAGGGATTTTCACGAGGGCAATTATTCCCTTCGATAAAAATGTCAATCTGATATTTTATTTTTTTTTTTACACTGCGGACATTAAATAAATATTGATACATAGATAGAAATAGAAAGACTTAGAGTATTTATATAAATATTAATCGTGGTGTGTTTTACTTGTCGGCCAATAACACACCGAGTCTGTATTCATTCTCTACCAATCACAAGCATGAATGAGTTTTTTCCGCCACCAATCATCATCAAGAGTACTAGATATCACTCCACCAATCAGGAATAGAGAGTGTGGACGCCATGACAGTCCCACTCACACACAGGTATTCATCACTCTGGTAAATGGCGTTCGTTTGACTGTACCTTCCACTGTAACAACCTTGTACCCGCCACTGTAACAACCCTGTATCCCATCTTGATTCAAAGCGAGGATGTGAAGGGCCAGTGACCTGACCTAACCTAACCAAACTGACTCAGGTCTATAGTTATCTGTTTAAGTTATCGTCTGTACAACTCAACTCCCTCAAGTACGCACCTAGAGATAGAGAGACGGCGAGAGAGAGAGAGATAGAGAGACGGCGAGAGAGAGAGAGAGAGAGACGGCGAGAGAGAGAGAGAGAGGAAGTGTCACCTGTCGCCAGTAATTAGAGTACAAGGGGTGTGTGTGTGTCTGGGCTATTAGCGGAGTTACCCCCCTCCCCTCCCCTCTTACCTACCTAGGGGGAGTCCTCACCTGTCAGACACTATCTTAGCACACACACACACACACACACACACACACACACACACACACACACACACACACACACAGATAATATACAGAGATAGCCAGAACTGGGAGGGAGGGAGGGTAGGGAAGGAGGAAAGAGGGAAGGAGGAGGAGGAAGGACGGACGGAGAGGGAGGAACGAAGAGGGAAGGAGGAAGGAAGGAAGGAGGAGGAAGGAGGAGGAAGAATTATGTGCAAGGAGTATACCTTCAGTAACTCGTAGTCGTGTTGGGTTGTATTTTACCTCGGGAAAATAAAACTGTTGGTGGAGAGAGAGAGAGAGCATCACCACCTCTCCACCAACACTTCACCAACACCACCTCTCCACCAACACCTCTCCACCAACACCTCTCCACCAACACCTCTCCACCAACACCTCTCCACCTCTCCACACCACCTACCTCTCCACCAACACCTCTCCACCAACACCTCTCACACACATATCGCCCCGACTGTCAGACCTCCCAGCGATTAATCCTCTCAACAACAGCTCCTGACAGCCCTACCCTTCCCCTAGCCTCCAGATGACTGTCACCGGAAGAGGTAGACATCCTGTATCACCCTTCCAGCCTCCATTATCACCACTAACTATCACCATTACTCACTTATCTACCCACCCCTACCATTAACAATAGCATCACCACCTACCACCACCACCTACCACCACCACCTACCATCACCACCACCACCACCACCATCACCACCACCACCTACCACCTACCACCACCACTTACCCACCACCACCTACCACCTAAATAACCCACCCACCCACCACCACCACCACCCACCACCCCACACACACACACACACACACACACACACACACACACACACACACACACACAGGCGCATCTTGTCACATTCACACAACGTTAAACCCAAATTATTTCCCAATCTAGAACCAATCTCTTCACACCTGTCTCCTCCGTCTCACTTACATCTCTACCGTAGGGGCATGGGAAGGGGGGGGGAGGGTAGGGGGAGGAGATGGGGAGAGGGGGGGAAGGGGAAAGCTTTGAGGTGTAGAATGACTGTGTATATTTACTAGGCAGGGTCTCTCTCTCTCTCTCTCTCTCTCTCTCTCTCTCTCTCTCTCTCTCCTTAAATAACTAAAATGATAAATAATAACAAATAATAAGTAATAAATAATCAAGGTTCGTTTGTTGAGACGTGTTAGGTTATACAAGACGCCAGGTCAGTAACTTGGCCATAATGAACCCCTAGCAGTGACGGCCAAGACATCACCAGAAGCAAGCGTATAATATTCCAACTCAAATACATATTAAAATGGTAATTCAACCCCAGAGATTATATCCGTACAAGTTATTAAATTATAAAGATGGATTATTAACCTAAGAGAACCCCGACTGTCGCAATTTGAGCTTCAGTAACTATACGTATGGTAATTAGAGGTCATGTGTACTGAAGTTATCTCATTGCTTATCAACAACATGACTACCCACCCCTTCACCACACCCTGGCCATCCCCTTCACCCCATCCTGGCCATCCCCTTCACCCCATCCTGGCCATCCCTTCACCCCACCCTGGCCATCCCCACCCCACCCCTGGCCATCCTTCACCCCATCCTGGCCATCCCTTCACCCACCCTGGCCATCCCCTTCACCCCACCCTGGCCATCCCCTTCACCCCACCCTGGCCATCCCCTTCACCCCACCCTGGCCATCCCCTTCACCCCATCCTGGCCATCCCCTTCATCCCACCCTGGCCATCCCCCCTTCAATGGTGGCGAGGAGTAGGACAAGTGTTGGAGGGATGGTGGAGAGATGTGTGTGTGTGTGTGTGTGTGTGTGTGTGTGTGTGGCCTCCATAGCCCCCTAGCGGTGCTCACCTTCACTAACGACCAATAATTCCCCAACAATGGCGTCTATTTTAATTAACCTGTCTCCTTCCCACCTTTTAGATTGCCCACTGAGAGAAACCATTTAATTAACAACTTGATCCATTCCCAGATCCAAACTATCCACCCCCCCCCCTTACCCCTCTCCTGATGTCCGTCTGCCTGTCAGGGTGTCTGCGGTGACTGTGTCTGCAGGAGGAGCAACCATGTCTGCTGTATCCTGCATTCTGCTGGTGCTGCTGGGGGAAGCTGCGGTCTGCATTATTAAGCCGGTATGAGACCTGGACTTCCCTCTCACCTGCTCTCTTACCTGCCCTCTCACCTGGCCCTTGACACCTGCTCCCTCTCACCTGGCCCTTGATACCTGCCCCCTCTCACCTGGCCCTTGATACCTGCTCCCTCTCACCTGGCCCTTGACACCAGCCCCCTCTCACCTGCCCCCTCTCACCTGGCCCTTGATACCTGCTCCCTCTCACCTGTGATCAATACAACACCTGCGTCTTGCACATCCCCAGACAAACGGACAAATATATTCCCTCACAGTCCTTGTAGACCCCAGTCCTAATAGACCCCAGCCCTAATAGGCCCCATTGGTTCTCTTATATCTAACGTGGCTTCTCCGTGTTCTTATTTACATCACCTGTGCAATGTTGACCGCGTGGTGATGGTGGTAGTGGTGGTAGTAATAGTGGTGATACTTGTTAAACCAACCTCCATCGGGTTCAGATCGGCTTTCGGTTTGGGTTCGGGTTTGGAGTTCGGTTCAGGTTTCGGGGTCGGGTTTGGGGTTCAGTTCAGGTTTCGGATTCAAATTTGGGGTTCGGTTCAGGTTTCGGGTTCGGTTCAAGCTTTGGGTACGGTTAATTTAGGTCCGACACTCGGTTATTGACGTATAAACAGGGCGTAAAGAGGAACACACACGGAGCGTATGTCTTAACTCACTGTGACAGCTACACCGTGTTTACAAAGTTCCTTGATGATGTTCACTACATCACAAGTACTACATGATCACTATAACACTAGTACTACATGATCACTATAACACTAGTACTATACTGTAACACTCTTATAGTGTTTTACCTCCAACTATATCTACCTTGACCCCAAATTTTAAAAGGAGGACCAGTGAAGGCAGAGTACAAGTGGACCTGTTTAAGGCGTCAAAATATTCTCCATCAACAATGACGACAATATACTCTTTTGGTAACTGGACCTCTGTCTGCTGTATCCCCGAGGAAGAAGTTGATGGCGGCTTCTTCCACATGACTGAGGACGGATACCCAATTCTTATCAAATGTCTCTATACGCCTAACGACGTCAAAACATCCTATAGACATTGAAGATGAGCCGATGAGTGAGGTTGTCCCCATGGATATCGACGAGGACCCCATGGATACCATTCCCTCCCTCAGGACTTGTTGAACCTGAGAGACACTATCTGCTCCTGGGACCTGCCAGTACTGCCTCAGTCTGATAAAACACGAGACTCACCCCTGTACTTTACCTAATTGTCTTTATAATAAACATTTATAATATTTTTACTGTATTTTGTCCGTCTTATGTGACTGACATACTATATATTGTACATTATATATTTAACAAGACGACAAATATGACACTGGGATACACAAACTTATATCAATACAAAGTAATTTTTTTTTACATAAAATATCAATGACACGTCTGTATGTTGAGCATCTGGTGGCGGCCATATTAGAAGGTAAAATCCAAAATAGCCGCCATAAACACGTAATTCTCATATTAATATATTTATTTAGGAGAATATTGTTAGAAATATATTTAGGGAAGTGGAAAATCTATTGATATATTCGATGGACATTTTGCCAGGTCAGTGTTATCTTTAATTTGCCACAGCGAAAATTATATACGGTAAACATGACAAACAAACACTAATGCTATTGTTCAAGGTTGCCATCCTAACTAGCGCCTTGCATAACTCTCTCTCTCCATCACACTCTCCCTCACACACAAATTCTCTCCCTCACTCGCCCTCACACACAAATTCTCTCCCCCACACTCTCCCTCAC